GAAAAAAGTAACAGAGATTTTGTGAAAAAAATCTGTGCCTTGTGACATTTGTGTAAGATATGCACATGATACCTCATTTGTTTAGAGAATGTAGGCTAAATCCCTGACTCCTCACAGCAAATGCTCAGGGTGAAGGAAGGTATTTCAGTGGTGGTGTAAAGTTGAGTGAAATGCACCTATCTTTCAGGCATCCTATGCATTACCTAGAGCAGCATAACAGAGGCTCTACACTGCATGCAGAAGGGGCTGAAAGAGCAGGATAATGAGAGCCTTAAGCTGCCAGCGCTGCTTGTTGAACAAGAGGGATCACCTGAGCCCAGTAGCCAGGCAGTTTGGAGTCTAAAGCAGCTGTCTGGGCACCCCTCCTGCAGCAGGCCTATGTAGTGGCACCTCCTACAGTCACAACCTGTCCTCCAAAAGGTTGGAATTTATGTCGACTTTTACTTGCCCAGAAGTTAGATGCACTGAATTCTCCACTCATTTTCTTTCTGACCACTCATGCATCAGACGACTTAGGAGATTAGTGTCTCACCCTGGGGTGCCCTGCACTGCTGCCCTGGGCACCAGGAGTAGCTCTGTGCATGGATGAAGCTGCCAGAGGGGGTGGAGAACATGCTGTGGACCTGCATGATGAATTGCTTGGACTTCAGTTCCCAAGCTGAACTCTGGATTTTGAATGACAGTTATAAACTGTGACTTGATATAACTCAGCACCTATGAAAATTAGGCCACCATCCACTTTTCACCTTGAGTCATGCATTACAGTGAAAATCAGACCTTTTTTCCAAATGCTTTTTTTACCAAGTTGACACAACACTGTGCTGTAACATGAATAATTAAGAGTTATATGCAGTCTATCATCTTCAGGCACCTATTTAGGTTTTGCTATGGCTGAAAGGTGGGTACTCAGCCTCAGCAGAATAATTTAAATCACCCACATGAAAAGCCCTAACTGCTTCCTAAACAATCAAACTGAGATCAAAGTGCTTCCAAAGGCTACCAAAAATCAAGTTAAAGGGTCTATGTTAGGATCACTGATCACTGTGTTAGGAGCACTTCCATAGAGCTATTTATGGTGTCAGTACGTGCACTTACTAATGCTGGATAGTTGTAGCTAGCATATGGCAGTTCCCAGAAAACAAATTAAAAAGTACAAAAACTTTTTGATTCTGTTTAAACAGACACATCATTACTTGAATGTTACTGATATTGAAAGCATGGAGCAGTGAGGGTGATCAGAGCAGTGTCACAGTTTTCCCAGTGCCAAAACATGTTATTAAACAACAGAAAACACTTCAAAGAAAGGACACATGATATTTACAGAAATAATAAATCAAGCCTTGTGCCTAACTTTTGTGCAGAGCAATATGAAATGCAGCTAAAAACTTGTAAGTTTTTTGTTGATGACATAAAATGTTTCTGAAAGGAGTAATATTTTTGCCCATTTATTTGTGGTGATCATAAATGACTGGAGTTTGCATGAAGAATGCATTAATGCTGTGACAAACTAGGAAATACTAAGACAATTTTAATGACTTGTGCATGCCTCTCATCTATTTCTTGGTAATTGCTGATTTGCTGTGTGATTAATCAAAGACTTCTTCAGGAAGAAAAAGAAAGAAATTAAAAAGTAGCAATAACAAGACTGAAGCCCAAAGTAAATAATGTCAAAGATTGTAAGACAGTGGCGGATGCCTCATCAGTTGTGAAATAAACATTTTCCAGATTGACATTTACGATCAAAACACATCCTGAATCATAAAGATGTTGGTATTAGAAAAGGGTAATTGTGTCTGGATTGTGAGACTGGCTCACACCCCTTTTCATGGAGACTTGCAACGGTATGTCTAAATTTGTATTAAGAGACATGCCAGTTGAGACATGATTCATGAGCTGACCCAGCAACAGATTTGAAAGGCCTGTTTAGCTGCTGGTAGAGGCTCTTGGAGAGAAGGAAAGACCAGTGCTAACCCTAGGAAGGCTTGGCAGAGCAGCCAGGTTCGTGCAGAGCAGCTGCTACCCAAGGTTCCTTGTGGTGTCATGGACAAAGGGCACGGGGAATTATGAAGAAGATATGTGCAAGCCTCGGCATAAGCTGCCACCAGAGGGTCTACCTGCCCTGCTAATGATATGGAAGGCTCTCTCTGGGAGCAGGCAGCAGCTTGGACTGAGGCTTGTCAGAGGCCGTAACTTAGCCTCTTATGGGAATTGGCAGGGATTTTAACAGCTGGAGCTCCAAAGTGGCCAAACTGACCCCACCACAGCGCTGACCTCAAGGACGAACTCAAGAGGGCCAGAAGTGATACAAGTACATCTCACCTCATAACTATGTCATACACAACATAAGCTTCCACTGGAAAAATTCATCAGAATGTGAACTTTGATTTCACTGGTGTTTTAAGCTGGATTTTTTGTCCAAATTGTTACTATGCGTTTCCCAAACTTTTTTCCCAAGTCTGCTCAGTACTCTAAAGAAACGTGAATGTTTCCCATATGAATCAAACAAGGTTTATAGATTTTTGCAAGTTTTATTGACATGTGGTACTGAGCCTGCCATAATGAAGGAAATTCATGTCAGTGAGAATATTACAATGAAAAAAAAAAAGGTGATTTATTAGAGGTATATCTCTTCTTAAAGCTGGCTTAAATTGGTAAGAATTTTCCAGTCTCTGTCTAAAGGTTTTCCTGGGTTTTGTATCCACATGTGAGCAACATGGAATGCTATAACTGCACTATGTTGTTCTGAAAATGGTTCTGCAAAGATATACTGTGTTAAGGAAGCTTCTATTAATGACGCTATTCTTGGAAAGGACCCAGGAACCGTATCAGTGAAAGATCCATTCAGAAACACGTTGATTTTAAACTTTCAAGTTAGAGTCTCCTTTTCCATTGGGTTTACATGGTTGTAGATCTTGTAATTTTAGCAGAATTGTTCCTAATTTATATTGGCATACCTGAATAGATTCAAACCTTAGAGACCCTCTGGAAATAACAGTAGCAGAAAAATCTCTGGTTTTAGTACAGAACTTAGAAATGAGCTGGGAGATTTTAGCAATGTGAGAGGTAACTGGAGAGGATGATCAGGCATGACACCTCGAAAGTTATTGTCTTGAAATGCTGAGAACCTTCAGAAAGAGGGGGTTTTAGCCACTGTGTACACTTATCAAACTAATTACACATTTTATTTTAGCTAATCACATTTCTGGGCAGGGATACAAATGTTAGGCAGGATAGGTGGAGAGACATATATTTTATCAATAAGACAAGCCAAGTCAGTAGCAAAGCTAGTGAAACTACAAACAAACAAAAAAAAAAACACTCTTGTCATCACTGTAGGCACAACTTACAGCAAGAGCATGGAAGGGGAGATTTCAAAGTCTTGTACAAAAAATTCATTTTTACAATGTGAAACTGATTTTTTTTAAGGTTGCATTTGATTGTTTCATGTGTACTTAAGCATATAATTAACTTGGCTGTAAACCATCTTTCCTTCTGTATTAAACTGATCTGCCAAAGATGAAATCTCCTGCTCTTCAAAGATGTTCCTCATCAATGCACCAGTTCAGCAAGTCAAAGAAGAAAGTATATTCTTGAGGGTAATGAACTAGTCAGAGCCATCAAAATAAATTACTGTGTCCAGATATTAAAACTGTGAAGAAAACAATGCAGCAATACCAGTTCCTGAAAATGCAGCCTAGTACAATGCTGTTTATACCAAGATAGAGTTTCTATTAGATTTAAAAGGTACCACGAAATTTTCAGGCACTTCTGACTGACAAGGAATACTTTTTATCTTTAATTTACAGTCCTTCTGAAAAAGGAACTTGCAAAAAATGTCCTGCAGTCATTTGTATCTGGTTGCACTTCAGATCTGTATTTCTGGATGAGTAAGCCTGTATTTCAAATAACAGCATGTATGTAGGCAGGGGCATAGGACTTGGAAGAAATCTCTGTTACTGAGAGTTACTAAATCCCATCCTTTTTTCTCCATTTTACACTCTGTTTCTCATGAAGCAGAGGCACTTTACATGTTCAAATACAGTGACTTTGGGTGAAATTCTTCACCTGGACACTTGGACTTTATGCAGTTGAAGAAGCATGGTTTGGGAGAAAATAACACCTACCCTCAAAAGTTTTTCTGTACTTTACATGCTTTCGAGACTTACATGATGTACAGGCACGCACTGACCCTGTGCTCCTTGCTCCATTTCTATTCCAGCACATTTTAAGTTTGTAAACCTTCTTGGTCATGCATCAGTCCCTGTTTTCTTTGTGTGTTGAGGTATGCTGGGCACTTCTGAGATTTCTAAGTAATTCTCAAATGGCAGCTCTGCAAAGCTGGTGTTAGGAAGGGTAGAGGATCCATTTTTTTCAGGCAAATAAATACAGGAACTTGGCTTAAGCTCCTATTTCAAAGGAAGGCTGCAATATCTACATAGCTCTGAGGGATAAATTGGTAATTAATCTGCAATGGATGTCATTCTCTATTAATTTCTGGTAAAAAGGTACTGTGTTTCTTTTCATCTGCTATAAAGTGTTGGATCATTCCACAGCCTCCTTATTAAATGAAATGGATCTTCTGTCTTGAATGGCAGGTTGATCCATAGTGGTAAAAAAATAGCAATTTAATATAACTTCAGCCTCTTTTGATTCTGCCATTCCATCTGTTAGTTCACCGCTTTCCCTTAAGACAGAGAATGTGATGAAAAACAATGAGACGTCAGGAAAAGTCGTACTGGTACTCAGCACCTAATGTGGTTGAAAAATAGCACGGCTTGCTTCCTTTCTAACTTTTACTATTTGCTCTGGGGACTAACCAGGCCTTTTATGACACAAGCATAGACACGCACAAGTACATCATATAGTTCATAAACTGATGAAGTTCTGTCTTGCTTGATTTGTAGTCCTTATTTTTACAGAACCACTGTGAAGGCAGTTAGTAAACACTAAGGAAGAGATTTTTAAATGCTGCTTATTTAGTCTGCTCTTGTATTTTGCAGCTGACACCAGTCTTGGAACAGATGATGTTTACGATGATAAAGGGTGCCAGTGTGATGTGTCAGTAGAAGATCTCACCCCTGCTCTTAAAACTGTCATCAGAGCAATCAGGTGAGTAAAAAATACTGAATGAATAAATATTTGAGATTTCTTTAATCAAGTTACTAATTAGCTGCCTGTCAGTTAATAAAATGTGAGTTTAACTTATTACATGGCTATATTTGATACATAACTAATGCCAATATAGTTTATGCTTCCTTTTCATCAGTATTTTAGTTAAAAGTTAAGGTATTTTATCTATTTGGTTACCATCTTTGCAATGTCTAAATATATTACATAACTGACTCAGGAAAAAAAAAAAAAAAAGAAAGAGAGTAATGAATGATGGTTTCCACTACATTTCCTGCAATCCAAAATACTGTAATCCAGTTTGATGCGATTCTGCTGAATGTGTATCACCTTCCCTAGAAAATTATTTCCTTTTGAAAGTTTAGGGGGTTCTTGAATTTCCATATTTCTGAAACTGTCTGTTATATGACTTTCATTGCAACTTTCTTCTGGTAACAGCAGAATAATTACATTCACTCAATTACGCAAAGCCTTGCCTGCTACTATCCAGTGAACTAAATATAACCCAAATAATTTCGAACTAATAGTCTCCTTTTTGTCCAAGAAAGCAGCAAACTGCATTGAAACTTACAAGATTACCTGCACTGAAAGCTTAAATTTAATATTCACCCTACTGAGACTGCCAAGGCTCTTCATTTTCCCAGATATTTTGAAATGCAAATCCTGACAGGCAAAATCCCCACCATAAAGAGTAGCAAGGAGAGCTCAAGCATTCCCTCTCTGCTGACAGCAAACCCAAGGATATTGATGGGGGTCATCCCAGTGGCTCTGCATCACGCTCACATCAGTGCCTGATACCCTTCCTGCAGTCAGGCAGCAGCCACAGGGGGTTTCTGCCAAACCAAATGGGAAGATTATGTTTTCCTGCATGGAGACTCTCACCTGAGTCTTCTCAACACTATGGGAAGAAAGAACTCAAGCCTTTTCTCAAATAATTTCATACAGTGGTAACCTATGTGCGTGTATTTCCTTCCTCTTTTTCCACTGATTGCCAATGAAGACTGATAGCGAGTAAGGCTGTTCCTAATACTTTTCTACTAGCACAGACAGCTTGACAGATCACTTCCAGACTTGTATTCCAGTAATTTTTCCAGCGTGCCTGGAAATGACCTCACAGGACGTGTCAGATACCAGGTCTGTGTCCACAGCCACTGCAACTGGCAACTCAAATGTCACCGCTGAGAACCATCTCTTGCCAGCTATGTTTCAGCAGGTGACAGGAATCCTCCTACACAGTGGACATCCACCTACAAGGCAGGCCTATTCTATCAAGTGGAAAATGCTCAAATTAGGATCAGTCAGCATACTCCATTGGCTCTGGTGCCAAAGATCATTGTAATGATGCATTTTAAGTAGACTGGTTGACAATTCCACGTGCACCTTGCCACTGTACTGGCAAGTGATACCAACAGTCATCCCATTCTTAATACTGACCAAGTTCCTTAATATCAGCTTGACATTTTAATACTAAATTAATGGAGCTTGTTTACAAATGAACCACTAGATTGCTCAATGCATCACCTACATCTTTGCTTGGTTCTCTTGGTAATTACCAGCTCTAACAGAAAGTAAACAGATGTGAAGGACATAGCTGGCAAACTTTCTCCACAGTGCCATCTACAGACATGTTCTAATAAGACGAGCAAAGGTGCAACGGTTGTTTCAGACATGCACTGCTTAACGGGTAAGAGTCAACTTTTTAGGTTATTTCCAATTTTTTATCTGTATACTTGGCTTACCAAAAAAAAACCAACTCATTTCACCACTGAAGATGAGAATAAGAATCTCTGCTTGCTATCAATTAGCCATGAATCTCTCCCAACTTTGCCTGCAAATATTAGTGTTTTACTGGATTAGAAGTGGCGCATACGTCTTGCTTCAGAAATACACCTGTGTTTAAGATCTGTAAAGCAGTAATATGCTATGATCTTCAGACTTCTGTTAAATGCTATACCTTAATCTCTCAAAATCAAGAGACTGATAATTCAGTACAGCAGGTAGCTGATACTCCTCTTTCTGATTATTCAGAGTGTCTGTTACCTGACTACACTGGGATCTATGCAAACATCTGAAGAAGGATCTGAGACACTATATAGTAACTGTAGAATTTCAAGATGATAACATCTGCTTATGTGGAAACTTTGTGCCTCATTTTGAAGTTTGTTTTTAGCAACGGCTTTGAATTGCAAAGGCCATGGGGGAGGGTAGAAGCTATTTTTCCTTTCATGCTGTATACAGAGGCAGATGAAGACAGAAGGTACTTGCATAGCTTCATGAGACACTATGAAAAGACCCCAAATATAAGCACATGCACCGTTCCATCCATTCTGGCTATATCATCTTGAAAAACTGCAATAAGGGAGAGTCATTATCTTTTCCTGCTTGGAGCTAAGTATAAACTGGTTTACAATGATACAAATGGTCCGTTTATTTGGGGAAAAAAAAAATAAATGAGTAAAATGAATTAATGGCTGTGAATTTGCAGAGGTAGGGCATCCCTCAGTTTTTGAATAAGAAAGAACTGGGGTATTTTTCAGTGAAAGGAGCCTAGAATATGCTTCTTACCCTCAGGTTGGGCAACAGTGAAATAGTAAAAGACAAAAACAGTTTTATTTCTAATCTTGCATTTTTGTAATTTCAAAGTATACTGCTTCAGTTTTGACCTTGCTCACTTACATTTTTCCCAGGATTAATTTATTCTTCAAAAGTACTTGATTTTAAACAAACCCTCAAACTTTCACTTTCAAATAGTCCATACAGGAGATGGAGAAAACAGCTGTTCCCTGAAAAAGTTCTTAACATATTGGCCCGTTCCAAAAATAGGACCCCCAACCAGTCCTACTAAAGACCCATCAGGCAGACCTGTCCAGTACCAACATGTCAAACTACTAGCCTCCTCTCAACGCCTGCACAGGCTGTCTTCCACAGTCCATCTCTTGTGCTGCCCCTTCCTTACTACAAACTGTCTGTCAGGAAAGATCAACTGAGGCCGTAGGAAAAGTAGGGAAAAGCTACTCAATACATTTGCATAATGTTGGGTGAGCAGGGAGCAGATGGGTAGTGTGGTGAAACGTGGTGTGCTCCACAGCATGCCTTAGGCCAGGCCAGGATCAGTCCCACTCCTCTGCAGCCTCTGGCTGGGATGAGAGCAGTGCACAAAACAGTTGTTGCTAAGGGTACTCTGAGCCTTTCTGCCAGCATGTTTTGTAGCACTACTCAACCAGCCTTAGTCTTGTTGGGAACAAAAAGCCACTAATATCCTGCAGAGTTCCTGCAGAATAACAAAAAACATTGCATTTTCCAGCTTTTTTAGTTCACAATGATGAATGCATATAAGAGAGACTAAAAAGAAGATGAGGATACCTTGTTTCCATATATTGCAGTATCTCTGATCATTTTTCATAGCAAGAGGCACTAAATTTTGTAATACTCTCCACAATGGAAATGATAGAATTATTTTTCTATTTATGAATATAAAATCAGATTTGATAAGCATAAATAAATATTCAATAGGAAATAACTGCAATGGCAGTTTCTGCTAGACTTATAAAATGCATTTTTAGCAGCCATTATGAATTTGTTCAATGGTGGTGTTTCAGAATCCTCTCTTTCTTTTAAATCCCAACACATTTTATATCTTCTGCCCAGATGGTCCTCAGAGTCTAGGCAAGGCTCTTAGATGTGTGTTTGGCTATGACAGCACTGTGTTTTGGAGAAAATGTCCCTGGCTGCTAGGGGATGGGTTAACGTAGGTAAAGATCCGAGAGAGGAGGCAGTTTTGACCCATTCACCCTACATATAGTGGAACTGTCTCTCAACCACTTCTGTCTCGGCCTTTCTATATTGGATCCTGATCTCTTCTGCACGTTGCAGTTTACGAGGAAGAAGGGTTATTTGACAAGGTAAGGACAGAGAGATAGAGGCACCAGCACAGCTAAACCTGCATGAACCTGTGATCACCTCATCCTGTCTTTTAACCTCTCTGTCTTTTAATCTTCAAGACAGTAACCATGTATAAGTTTACCTGAATCCCAGTAGAATGAAGATAGTTCATTCCTGAGATAGTGACAAGACTTAAAAAACACACAGAAAAAAAATGAGTACAACAGGGCTGCGCAGAGGATAGGAGATTTTCTGACTCAGTGCTCATCTCAGTAAAGTGTGCTACTGACAAGCAAAATAGCTTTTAATATTGGAAGGGACAATGTGAATGAAAATTAAAATGAAAAAAATAAAATTAAAAGATATGTAACCTGCATGTTCAGAAAACACCACCATTCTAGATCAGGGTTGATCCTGTATTTGGCAACAGATAAATTAAATGGATGCTGCTTTTGGCTGCTAGGGGTCAATAGGACAAAAGTTGGTATAGGGCATGTAATTTTCTCCAAATTTCAGGGCAAGTGAAGATTAGTGGGTCCTGTGGTTTAGACCTTAACAATAGACAAAAGACTTTGATATATTCGTCTGCTTCAACACAAGACTCTTCTTTTGCTCTCCTCTGCGTGAATCACTGAAATAGGCTACTTTTTATGTCTAATTCTCACCAGAAAATCGTTATGCTTGTGACTTGGGTAGGTTTACAGTCATGTGTCGTCTATCACATTAGATTTGAGTTACAAAATGCCACCTCACTCCATGGCATACAAATAATGGTTTTAAAAGCCCGGGGGACTATACGGTTTTGTTCTTTTGGGTTAACTCTTACTTTCAATTACTGCCATTTGGTCAGCACCGGCAGTTCAGTATTGCCAGTGGCGACTCAGTTCTGTTTATGATGAGTCTTGTTTGCCCCCTAGTGGTATAATTACAAAAGACAGACTGGGCTGTAGTTTGCCCTGTTCCTCCTGTACGTCTTAACGGGCTTCAAAAACTTGAGATATGAATAACATTTTCCCTTTTTCACACCCACATGTGCCCTCATTAGTGAACCCTTCGCTTTTATCACAGAGGAACACATCAGAATAGGGTATTTTTTATTCTAGAAGCACAAATGCAGGAAACACAAAGGTTTTCTTGTTCGATTATATTGTTATTTCAAGATACAGAAAGCAAACTGAGTTTTTAAAATTGACAGTAAGTAACTATGGTGAATCAACCAAATTTAAGAACTGCAAAGGAGTTGCTAGGCTCCATTTCTGAAAGAATTCAGGTTTTCTGCTTCTCAATTAACTTGCAGGCTTTTAAAATGCCAGTCTTTTATAACCCTTCAGGTTTGTTGCACAGTTTATGTAAAATTCTGCATATTTGAAGTAAAAAGAAGTAGTATGGGTCTGTTCCAGTAGTATGGGTCTGTTCCAAACTCTGCTGAAGTTAATTAAGATGGCATGACATAATAACCAAATGATAACCAAAATTAGTGCAATTATACCTTACTGACACAGCTGTGATGCTGACAATACTGCCTTTTACTTCTGAACATTACGAGCAAACTGCCTTGATAAGCAAAAAAACTGTTACAAAGCTGAAATTGAAAGCAGCAGTGAAGACTTGTGTGCACACTGATTAAGAAGTTCCTATTAATAAAAATTAGTCTTCTGTCTCTTCTCTTGTAAAATCACCCAGTTGTGGTAAATTCAGTTGTCTTCAATTCCACTATTAATTGTCCGGCTCTGCTTTTCTAGTAGAGCTTCATATTTTTATTTTATCAAGAGCATGAAGTAAAAAATTGTGACCGCCAAAACAGAGAGAATAATAACAAAAGAGTGATACTTCCTTGTATGTCAGCTACATCATTTATTCTTTGTAACCTGAATAAAGAACTATATCCAGGAGACTTGCGTGTGCTGTCAGACTGTTATGAACAGAACACCTTGGCACCATTTGGCAGATAAAAGAAAACAAAATCTGCATTCCGTCTTTAGAGGCCTTCAGATTACAAAGATGCCGAAAGCCATTAGTCTGTAGAACTGGCTGACATGTAAATGAGTAAAGTGCATCATCTGACATATTTAAAACTGTATGGAGATCAATACTGAACTGTCAAGGTGATGGACTACTCCTAACAGGCATTTTGCATTTTTAATTTCTGTTATCAGAATCATAGTTCAAGTTCTGTACCAGTGACAAGCAATCTCATTTTTAACTAGTAGTTACCAGAATGGGAAGTACCAGTAGCCTAAGCACTGTGGGAAAAGGCTGATACTGTTTGGAAGAACACTTATGTATGATACAGAAATCAGTAGAAGATCTGTATACACTATTAATCTGATTCTACGTACCTATTATCATAATGTCTGTCCTAACTATACAAAGTATGGTTTTCCTAAATTCCACTAACACACCTATTTTTATCACAGAGTGAGAGCCAGGCTTTGGGTTTTATTATAATTCACTGTCTTACAGCTGCTAAATGTATATCATACTAACCACGGAGAGAATATATTCGCATGAAATATTGGCATTTGGAATAGGTTACCAATTTACTGTGTCTGCCTTTTAATTGCAATAGATAGTGAATATCAGCAGTTTGGCCCTAATGGGAATTCATAAGCTCTGTAACACTGACCAGAATAGGCAACACACCTGATCCCTTGGCTTCTCTTCCAGTTCTTATACAGTTGTCTCTTCTGCAGTTCTCAGGTAAACAAGTAGAATTGCAGGTTTTACCAGCTGACATGGAAAATCAACTCACTGTCATTTACTTTCAAAATTTATCACTTCTATTATTTAAAGCTTGCGATTTAATATCAAGTGTTTCATTCTAAAAGAAGCTATTCAATGGACATCACATTCACATAAGCATCACAGAAACTTGTGCAAGTCTCACATTAAAAAAAATATATATGCCATTCATCCATTTTGAATATTTGCTTTTACCTGATACTGTTCTGCATTAAAATCAAGGAAAAAAATTACGAGTGCTAATTAAACAGTAATTCCCATAGACTTCAATATGAAACAAACATGAAACTTCTCTTTAGCCTGCAAAGTTTGAAGTTTTAATCTTTTTTGATGACTTAAGTCATCAAGATTAAACAATTACTTGGGCCTGAATGTTAACTAAAAATAAAAATTGATGAAAAATTGAGTATGTAATTTATTATTTTTTTTTTTTTGCAAAATGGAAAGTAAAAAACTTAAATTGCACACCAGAAGATGGTTATTATTTCTTTTTGTGTAATTGATTTGTTAAAGAAATCTTTCTTCTAATAAGGACAGAAGTAGCTTAAGCACAAACATAACTTACAGGAGTATCCCATTCAAGTCAGTTGTACTAAGCCTAGTTTTAACTTAAGCATGCTCTTCAGTACCTAACAGGCACCTAGCATAAAAAATGACAGATAGGTGTGTACTGATAAACCAAACACTGCACGGCTGTACACTCTTTAAAATAGTGCTATTCATTGTGTCTTAAATAACAGTTCAAAGGGATAGCTGCAACACATTTGTACTTACTAAAAACTTGTCTCAGACAAGCTGCCACTTGCACAATCTTCCACTTAAAAATTAGCTGTCAAATTTTATCACTGGAATATAATGTATTGTTTCACAACAGTTGAAGATTAATCTGTGAAATGTTTTTCCCCCACAGAATTATGAAATTTCATGTTGCAAAGAGGAAGTTTAAGGAAACACTGCGTCCATATGATGTCAAAGATGTCATTGAGCAGTATTCAGCAGGTCATCTAGACATGTTATGCAGGATTAAGAGTCTTCAGTCTCGGTAAGGAAAATAATTTCTGCTCTGCATAAGCATCTTACGTTATGTCATTCACAACATAATGAATATTGGTAATCTTTAACATTTCTGTGTTACATTTGGGTAAAAATTGCCATCCATGCTTCAGCCCAACCTCTCTGTGAGCACAGATGAGCCAGAAACTACGCTGTGAGTAAAAGCAAGCAAAAAAAGTGTATCTAAATTGTCCCCAGAACATGGAAGTCTCAACAACAGAAAAGGTAGTCCTTTACCTGTAAAGTCCAGTCATAACCAAGGAATTTAGTCAGGAGGCTGCCAAAAGGAAGACTTTCTCTTTTCACATAAAAGGAATTGTGAACTGCTGGTAATGCAGTATGTATGTAGTTTTTATGTTCAAAATTCCCAGCAATAATAATTTGAAAACAAAACACAACTTTCCATCATGTGTATCGTTACCAGCATTAGGGCTGAGTCTTCTGCTTCAAACTGACAACTTTCCCAGGACTTGATGCTGTTGTTAGGATGGGATTCCTAAAGGTGGCACTGGTATGTCTGTTCCTCCACAACATCAGGCTGCTGGAGAGTCTGCCTCCTCTCTCCCCCTGTTAGCAAGTCTAGCTCTAGGTCTCCCAGGTGATGGCTAAGTTCTGGCTGCTGGTTAGTGTCAACAGAAAATAAATGCAGTCTCAAATGCCTTCTTTTTTTTTTTTCTTAATTAATAAAATTGTCTTTTTCTTAGGTGCTTCTCTGAAGTACTGTGATTTTAATTTTTAATATACAGATGCAGCAAACACTTCAAAATCATCATAGTTTTCAGCAGTCACAGCAGCTTTTGATTTCTCTTACAGTGTTGACCAAATTCTTGGGAAAGGACAAATCACAGCAGATAAAAGAAGCAGAGAAAAGAATCCTGCAGAGAATGAGACAACTGATGACCTCAGTATGTTAGGACGTGTCGTCAAGGTGGAGAAACAGGTAAAATAATTATCTGTGTCACTTTGTCTCGCTCAATTGCTCACGCTTTTTGTCTAATTTATTGCCAGTTTCAAAGGCTGAGTGGGTTTGATTGGGTTCTGTTCTAATACCTGCTTCATTTACATGCTGAAATAAAATTGATATTACTAGCATTACCATAACTGTCTTCCATATACAAAAATGTAAGTAAGGAAAAATCACAGATTACATTTTTCCCCCCTTTTATCTGCTTGCTTATGAAAAATTTACATGGCTTTTGACATTCTTTTTCCAAGTCTCAACAGAATATACCAAGCTTTTTCCATTTTTCTCTTCAGCAGTCACATTTTCCCTTTGCTTGGGTTGAAAACACTTTAAATTAGTATTTGGCATTAATGTTAACCTTTTCCCCTCCTCCTATAGGTACAATCCATTGAGTCGAAATTGGACTGTCTATTAGATATTTATCAACAAGTTTTGAGAAAAGGATCTGCATCTGCACTCACTTTGGCTTCATTTCAAATGCCAGCTTTTGAGTGTGAGCAGACTTCTGATTACCAGAGTCCATCAGACAGCAAAGATTTGTCCAATTCTGCACAAATTAGTGGATGTGTATCCAGATCAGCTAGTGCCAATCTTCCTCGTGGCCTGCAGCTTATACTGACACCAAATGAATTTAGCACTCAGGCTTACTATGCTTTCAGTCCAGCTATGCATAGTCAAGCAATGCAAGTGCCAAATGATGGACCTGCAACAGTTAATAATACATCAAACCAAATGAACCAGGCAACTAAGCCAGCAACTCCAACAACATTACAAATACCACCTTTCTCATCAATGAAGCATATCAATAGGCCTGAGCCCGTTCATATTATTCCTGTAACCACACAGGAAAATATTTCCGATGTCACCGCTTGCCTTGTTGCATCAAAGGATAACGGACAAGTTGCACAGCCCAGTGCGACGAAGGATCTCACATGGAGAAAATGTCTGGATACAGAAGGGGAACCTTTGCTCTCAGTTAAACCTGTGGTGCAAATGGATTTAGGAAAATCTTTATCTGTACAAAACCTTATACAATCAACAGAAGAACTGAATGTACAGATGGCTGGCAGTGACTCCAGTGGTTCCAGAGGTAGCCAAGATGTATACTCCAAATGGAGGGAGTCAAAATTATTTATAACTGATGAAGAGTTGGAGACAGAGGCAGGAACAGAGACTACTGAAGCCATCTCGCGCCCGTTAGTGGAAACAACTCTCTCTGCTGACTCTCTAAGGACTGGAATATCAAGATCATCTCAAAGCATCTACAAGCCAGGGGACGGTACAGAAGCACTCAATCTGCTCCATGTCAAACTTAAATAACAGCTTGTGGGCTTTCTTCATTGGCTGGGTCATTCCTCTAGTCATACATATCATAGCATGAACTGTTTTGAAAGCCTTTTTAATAAGATAAAATCACAAAAATCAGGATGAATCTGCAAAGCAGTTGAATGAGCCCGTATCTCCTAGTTGCATGTAAATGCATGTTTAAGTGATGGCTAAGATTCAGATTTACACCTACAGTACGGCAGCCTTTAATGTAGTACAGTAGGTTAAATAATGAGTTGCCTACAAAGCTAATGCTGCAGGATGTATCAAAAACCAAAATTCGAGCATTTAGACCTAGTGCTGTTTTTACAGGGCAGAAGTAAAAATTGTAAGGTTTAAAGCACTTTGCTTCTGAACGAGTTAAATATATATATATAATGTCCTGATTTAGATGATAGTTTATGTTTACAACAATGAAAATTACCTACAGCTGCTAGCAAGGTACCAAGGAAGCCAGTAATATGGGATCAGAAACGGCTGCCAGTTGCAAGATACACCCATTAGCTTGTCATAATCAGTTATTTTTAACTCTGAAAACCAGTATGTTAATATCCATCCAGTTTTTGGTGATTTAGTGTTTTGGCAAAAGAACCTGACACACCACTATCATGTTGAGTTTTTTATAACAAGAGCATTCTTTTGTTATGAAAAGTTTGTATTTTAAGAGTTGGGGCTGGCCTTAGAAGGGGATAACCTGTGTGACTGCGCTAAAAATTATGGGGAATCTCTCATTCTTCCTGTCTCATTGAGAAGTTAGCTTGTGAATTTTGGCAGCAGTAGGTGAGGGAATGAAGCAGGTGCTGCCTTTATTGTAGAAGCTGTATTTTCTCATGTGGAAATTTTGGCAATTTTTCTTGCAGCCCCAACCTGATACCATGACAGCACTTGATAAGGCTGGGAAAGGAGGGAAAATGAGGAACTGAAATACAGAGTAAAATTAAATAGGACAGAACTGGGAAGAGAGAAAGGCAGGAAAAGAAATTATCCTAGAAAAGGAAGGTAAAGAGGCAAAAAGATACATGCATTTTAAATCCAGCTTATCAGTCACAGATATTATTTAAAAAAAAAAAAGAAAAAGAAAAAAAAAAAAAGAAGCCATGTAGGCAATCAGAAATGGAAACAGAAGTAGGAAAGACCGAGAAAAACAAAACAACAACCAAACAAAACCCTAAAAGCAAGGGGTTTTTTGTTTGTTTGCTTTTCTTAAAAAAAGAGGAGGTGGGAAAGTGGGCACACTCACAGTTCAACACTGTGTCCCAACTGCAGTCATTTCTTGTGAACTTTCCAAGGAAGGACCTTCATACTGCTTCCTCTTAATACCTGAGTTTTAAATTCAAACTCTACATCAGAGCAAGCATTCCTGCTTGATACATCCTCTTTTTTTCTTAACCTAACCTACAGTTCCCTTCTGCTGAGATGCAGGAGCAATGTTAGTGCCTATCTGCACATCCCCAGTAAGGCTCTCCACTGGGAGAACCCTTGTGGAGCCTAAACAGGCTTTCGCTCTTCCCAGCTGAATGAGGTTTCTGTGCTTTGCCTTCCCCCAGGTTTATAACCCACCTGCACCACAAGCTTGTTGATAACCCAACTTGGGCTCAGCTTCCCTCTAGCAGCAGGAACACCGAATGTATTGGGGGTGCCAGTGCCAGCTCACTCAGGGCGGTGTTTTCTCAAGGCCCAGACCTGCTGGGAACTTGCTATGTACATCAAAAGCATCACTCCAGTCTTAACCATGGCTAAATGCTGTAGATTGTATTGTGAAGGACTTGATCTGTTTACTATAAAACCATTGTAATTTCTGCTTCCATATCTCCTTTACAGAAGTATTCCTGGATGTTACATGACAACCTTCTTATGTGAAAGTACATGCAAACTGTAGAGTGTATATATTGTGTCGTTATACGGGGTCCACGGATAGTACACTGTGTTCCATGGCTCACGCTGGAGCAAACTTCAGCTGTTAAATCCTTAAAGACACCTTGAAGCACAATTTCCTCACCACTGATTTGCCATATGACTTACCACATTCAGCCTTTCCTGTTCTCTTTTATGTGCAGCCTGACATACTAAAGTGTGATTACAACAGTAACTTTGTGAGGATAAATAGTGGGTGTTTTCCACATCTCAGTTCATTTAACTATTAGCTTATTTGAATGTCTGCAGTTTACCCAGACAGATCTGTAAGTTTAGAGTACTATCCAAAATTTTAAAACTTACAAGGTTGGGGGTTTTAGGCTTTTCTTTATTTTTCCTAACTCTTTATGGTGCCTTGGTCACCTTTCATATGGAGCCTCCTGCTGATCTAAGCATAAACCTGCACTTAGGATCACTTAAGAAGAAAGAGGTGGGGCACGTGGCAACTGTGTGTCAGTATTGAAACTCCCTTCCCCTCCTTGATAAGACTGAAAAATCAAGGCATCATGAGTTGGACACCACTCTTCTACCTTCATCTGCATGAGCAGATGGTTGCAGCCCCATTGACCCAGAAGGCGTCAATGAGAGAACTGAGCATTGGCCCTCCCTGTACCAATTCTGCACAGAAACAGGGCCTTGGTTTTGCTGATAATTTATCTCACAGAAACTTGGTATTTTTGCCTTAAATGACATGCTTGAGTCCTTCTAACTTTAAGTTAATTTATTTAATACAATTTTGTGCACAAAAGAATGAGTTCTATAAATTATGTATGAAAATGTTAATGTCTTTACAAAGTACTAATAAATCCAGAAGATCATATCTTTTCAAATTATGGTTTAAAATCCTAATTTTTTTTTTTTTATGCTCACCATTATTATTTTTGTAGCTGAAAGTCTTATCATGTAGGAATTTTCTAACATAATACTGATAGAAAATAGAGTGAATATATGAAATTCTGGAGAGGAAGAATTGTTTGTTTGGATTTTTATAAGCTTTGCTCATATTTCCTCATGAGCAGTTTCCTGTTTCTATGCTTTCGCTTTAAAAGACAGTGTCATGAGTGACAGTCATTCACTGGTTTCACAAAAGAAGGACCTGTGTGGCTTTTCAAGTCTTGTACTGAGCTCCTTAAAGTCCATCTCAGGACAGCTAATAGGAACTGTTCATGAGTAGGGACAAAGGACAAATTTTTTTCTGATTACAATCCACGTGAGGATTGTTGAAGACAGAATCTGAACTTACATAAGAGTTTCAGGAATTAAGCCTTATCCAAGCAACTGTTTTCTGATCAGCATGTTTCTTGCACCTGATTGAAAAGAGAATAGTTTTGATGTTTATTATTTGTTAAAAAAATTGTATTTGCTCCTGGCTTATATGATCTATACTTTTTATTTAAATATTAATATGGTGTTTTAGCCTAGGGTTCAAGATTGCAAAGATCATACACTTTTATTCACAGTGCCCGCAGTTGTTCCCTATATTTTGAGATAATCCTATTTAGAGAGACTTGCTCTCATTATAGTATGGTGATGAGTAATTCACCTGCTCTTCTGTGATAGGTCAAGTAATACCAAATTGCTGATGTACCATAGAACATCTGGTGTACAATAGTATTTATGAACTGGGACTTGCAATCCTTACTCAAGCAAAAATTCTACAGAATGCCTTCATTCTATGGAATTAAATATTTTTTCTTGAATTGGGAGCTCAGGTTCAAATCCCTATTTTGTTGGGCATCTGTTTAAAGTGAAAATGGTAATATTCCAGTTATTTCCTGAGGAAACTAATACTTAGTTGAATTTACCCATGTCACATTGACTATATAAAAAATAACGCACAAAGTACTGATGTAAAAAGGGATGAAGAGAAGGGACATTTTTTAAAAGTACAGAGCAAAGGAGAATAATCAGAAAAAAAGGAGTAAGCAGGAAAAGAATATACAACAGGAAGGGAATGAAAAAAGAGTTTAACCACCTGATGCTAAATTCATCCTTGGATGGCTTCACTGACTTCAATGAATTCACTGCCCAACTGGGTGAAGTTCAGCCTCCATTGGGATAATCAGGCTCAGTTCCAGTGACCTTAAAGGAACTGAACCCACCTGTAACAGGAATGAACTTGCCTCTCTGGGCCAGCTTTTATCCTGACTCATATATCATGCAATCCTTTTGGATTCATTAGGTTTGGATGAAATACAGGTCAGAAAAGAATTTGCCCCAGATATTTCTGCTTCACATTTTTTTTCAAGTGTGTTAATCGACTTAAAATGGATTACAACATCACACAAAGTGCTGTCACTGTCTACAAAGGTTAACTGGTTTTTAAAATAGGAACTGTCCCCTGCAGCGTCAGTGGAAGCATGTAATATTTTCCTGTCCATTCATCTGGGTGTAAATGTGGCTGTTCATTTAGCTGTGGCTACATATACGACAATTCCAGACATATCCAATATCATCTGCTATTGGAAGCATTTTTTTACTTCTTTGAAAGATAAAGAGACAGTTTCATAAGAGGCTTAAGAAATGATGAAAGCTGCTTCCACTGACACTGCAACATTAGCCAGTACATTACAATGTTAATTGTAACTTCTTGACAACGTTGAATCCATATTGTTGTTAATAAAAATGATTTTAAAAGTACCGTGCTTATTGGTTTTTTTCCTTACATAAAAGATTATGTGGTGTTAGCATGTACCAGGCAAGAATTTAAACTTGCTCACTATTTTCCTTTTGAAATTTTATATTTTTTTATTGAATGGACCAAACTGGAATTTAGCTAGAATAAAATGCACACAAACCAGTCTGATAGGTTCAGTTTCTGGTTACCCTTTACAGCAGAGTTTACTTCATGTTTCAGCACCTTTATGAAAATGAGTTTGGAAGTTATTATTCACTTCCCTGTTACATAAACAGTAATTGATTTAGGATCAGCAATCAGGGGCCTGTGCGAAGAGCAGGATTCCTCAGGGAAGGCTGATCTGTTACCTCAGTTTAACTTGAGGCCTAGATAAAGCCCTTTCCTCTGTGTTGAATCATGGAAGTTGCTCTAGAATGCTACTGCACCATACCTACAGCCTTCTTCCCTCACTTTGCTCTTCCTCCAGTCCTGCTGAAGATAAGCTTTAGCATTTGAATGTATGGAATCTATAGTGCCTGTTCTTGTGGTGAAGTCACTGTCTCTGTGGAGGCTTCAAAACAGAGCATGATTTCCATGCACAGACGACGCCCTAAGTCTCTGATGAGTGAAATCTTGGATATTGAAATGTAAAGATGCAGTCTCCAGAAAGGCAGATTTTCCATGTCTGCCATTGGTACCCATGGGCTATGTAAACACTACCAAGCTCTGCCTAAGAATAAACACAGGACAGGAAAAAAGTCAAACGTGTGCAGGCTCTTCTATTAAAACAGGCAATCTTGCTTCATGTGTACATAGACATAGCAGGGAAGCGTCAGAAGGCAGCAGTGCAAGTTTTTCCTTTTTGAGTTACCCTGCAGGTCACGACAGCCAGGCACAGGCAGCCATGTCACCCATAAAGTGCATCAGTGTTCACCAGTGTTCACCATTCAGCCCTGTACCATGCCTAAAAGGGATATTTTATTTTTTCACTGTGAACCTGAGCGAGCAGTGGCACGGGTTACCCAGCGAGTTTGTGGAGTCTCCATCCTTGGAGATACTTATAAGCTACCTGTACACAGTCCTGGACAGCCAGCTCTTGGTGTCCCTGCTTGAGCAGGGGACTGGACAGGATGACCTCCAGAGGTCCCTTCAACCTCTGCCCTTCTGTGATTCTGTTTGCAATATTGTACCAGTTTTTGTACCTTCGGTCAAACTAATATCTTCATTAAAGCATCATTAAACCTTAATTTGAGTTTAAATATGACTTCCCTAAAAAATTCAGGCTGCAATGTATCAGCATGACACTAGTCTAGACACCTAACAAAACCGGTGCCACCCTCCCTCCCCAGCCTTTTCTGAGGCTGCCTGCCTTCTCCCCCTGCACCCTACAGACTTGGGCCTTCCCACACGTTCAGGACCGACTTCTTTCCCTCCCTTCCTAAAACACCGCTGCCTCCTCCTCCCCAGTGGAGCCCATCCAGGGCTGCCCCCAGGCCGACACAGGGAAGTAAGGGAGTGAGAAATCAGGACTGAGGACCCTGCGGCCCTGAGCGCGGAGCCCGCGAGAGCTCAGCCCCGGACTCAGCGAGGACGGCCATAGGTTCTCCCCTCTCCGAGCCAGCCAATCACTGCTAGAGAGCGGCCCGCCCTGGCCAGTCAGCTTGCTCCTAACCTAAAGCGCGGTAAGGCCTGGCACATGGTCAGCGGCGGCTAACGGGGCTGTTGGCATGTCTGACTGGGACACGGGCAGCGATGAGGACGTCGGTACGGGTCAGCCGCCATCTCCTCCTGGGTGTCTGCGCCAGCCGCCGCCTACCCCTTCGCAGAGTCACGCCTCCATAGTGGGCGGCGGCGGACGAAGGAGCTCTGAGTGGCGGCGGGAGGATGCGGAGGCGGCGGCGGTGGCGGCCGCCTCAGCGTCCGGCCTCGGAGAGGAGGAGTGGGAGCCTCGAGGCGCTGAGAGTTCCGTTGGCCCAGGGAAGGCGGCGCGGCAGTGGCGGTCCCGACCTACCGCCAGCCGGCGTGGTGACGCCGCAGCGCCCCTTTGCTTCCACCTCGATAGCGCCCTGGTCGGGGCTCTCATAGGTAATAACGGCCTCACACCCACATCTCGGGCGCTTGGCCCGCTGAGGTAAGCCGGTGGGGGAGGAGGAGAGGAGCCGGCGGCAGAGAGGTTCGTTCTTGTGGACCCCTGCCTCTCCCTCTGCACCCCGAGAAGGTGCACTGCTGCCCTCTGCACGGAGGAGTGGAGCTCTCCCACTCGCCAGGGTAGCTGAGTCTTTCCTCCTTGAAGTTGCTGGCTTGGTGTCTGCTTCTCATAGCCAGCAGTGTAAGCTCCTCTCGTCTGGAGGAAGAATGATTCTCTCTTGAGGTTATTTTGCTGCTCTATCTGAGGTGCTTTCACACACAACCCCCATGCACCTTCTATTTGGCTAATTGCCACGTAAGTTACCTGCATTTCCAGCAGTTTGATGTCACCGGTTGTTTTACTTACGAATACAGGTACTCCTGTGAAGGTCTCAGGGTTTGATCACAACCAAAATGCTAAGCGTTTACTATGCATAGTTTCTGGCAGTTTGGCCTAAATCTCTGTAACACTTGCAGTGTGTCTTTATTACAGGTCGGGGTGGAAGTAAAATAAGAGAGCTTGAGGATTCTTCAGGTTCCAGGATAAAGGTACCATGTTCTGTGTGTCATTAAGGCCTGGACTATGTGTTGTGAATGTGGCTGGTTTTGCTTTTGTGTAAATCAGTTAATGCAGCAACTTGAAGTGTGCTGCAATAGCTGTAATCTACTGTTTTACAAGAATTGGTGAAAATGAAGTGTAATTGAGGGTGCAGCTTGACTTGAGAAGCTTACTGATACTCTTTCCTTATTACCTTTTTAGAAGGGAAAAGGCCCTTTAATTCCCTCTGAAGTTGAAATTCAGGAAAAAAATACCAAAGACTGTTTAAGTGTATATTCCTATATAAAGTTTGTCATTGTGGTGTTGAAAAAACTCAGTAAGGTTTTATGAACATAGGTGATAAAGGGAGCCTATGAAGCTGAAGTAAAGATTTTTGGCAGTGTTGCTGTACAAAACAAAGCCAAGATGTTGATTGATGATGCTCTTACAAGATCTGGACAAAACTACAATAGAGGTGGGAGGGAGAAAGGTAAGGAATTTGTTTAGGGATTTGTGTCTTTGGAATTTGTGGTTTTTATGTTATTGTTTGGGGGTTGTTTGTTTAAAAAAATACTGTGGATTGTCTTTCCATGTATTTGGTAGTTTGATGGAGGGCTTTTATATTATTAATACACTACTGAACTGAATTAACTTTCACTTTGTTTTTGGACAGTGACATACCTGCTTAAAACAGAAATATCTAGACATCCTCCTTTCTTGGTTGTGAAGTTTCCCCCTTTCAAACGGCCAGACTTTTGTGAAAATGAGTTGCTGTGTGTTTTCAACAATTTAAATGAATGCAGAATGTTAGACTACTTGGTATCTTGCATTATTAGTCTGGTTCTCCAGACTACAAGCATTTTCTCTAATTTAAGTTTTAGAGTAGTATCTGTGCAATGTTAAAGCTCTATAAGTTTTTATGAATGTATAAGGCAAACATACTGTTTATAGCATGGGCAGTGCTGACTTTTTACTGCTTTCATGGGATGTTGGCATTTAAGATTTGGTCTTGCACATCATGCCTCTCTTTACTAGGCTTTATTGTCTAAAGTTAGTTACGTAGATTTATAAGTAATGATTGTATGTTGAGATGCTACTTACTGGTATTTGTCTGTGTGCTCCCAATGACTTTTTGTATAGGCAAACTATACCCACAGTTGTTGATCTGAGGCACTGATGAGGAAGAAGGGATCTGAGAGTTGTGTTCCAGCATTAGAATAAGGAATGGGGTAGTTCTGAGTTTTCAGTTTAGAAGTGCCACAGAAGGTGAATGAGTATGTTTCAAGAGGCTAGAAATAGTTAAAGTTTCCTTAGTATGAGTTACTGTGTTTTCCATGTGTTTCCTGCTTTTACATCAATACATAATTGTGTTGCCATTTGTATGTTCAGTGTAAAACCTTTGTGAAGTGTTAACCTCGTCAAAAAAGAAGTATAGAGTGTAACTGCACCAGGACTTCATTGTGGTGTCATTGGGTACTTTAGAAGTAAACCTTGCTTTTTGTAGCTATTAAAAATACAGCTTTCTGTCTGCGTATCATCTACTGGTTCACAAGCTTTTCAAAAGCCTGCTGCACAACAAGCGTTAGAGCTGGAGGAGCAGCATTTCAGAACCTGTCACCGCTTTCTTTAACTAGCTGAAGATGATGAAATGGTTTTTTTTTTTTTTTATTAGAACTGCATTTGTACAGACTTTATTAATGTTTCAGGCTAAGATCTAAGAAAGAATCTTCTATTTAAATGCTTCATGTCTATTAAAAATTACTTCAGAGGCCATATGGTAAAAAAAAAAGAAAATAAGGTGTTTGTTTTGAGGGGGATTTTTCACTTACCCTGCAACAGATTCCATCAAACAGCAGCTTTTTCACAACAGGAAAAACCTTGCACACTATCAAGCCTGAAGATAACCCAACGCAATCAGTGATTAACTGGGCCTATCTTCGAGAAAACAGAGCTAAATATGAAGCTATGAAGTGGGCAGGTTAGTTTTAAAATTTCCGTTGTATTAGTACTTGTCTTTATATAATAAATCTGTTGAATGTGTAAATGTTCTAATTTTTGCTTTGAGATATTGGAATCTTTCAGTGTCCAAGTTAGTTAAGTATTTGCAATGAAATGACCACATCAGCATTTCTCAGCATGGTCATGGAGGACCTACATAACCAAGTAGTTCTTGCTACTCAATTAGTATTTTGGCTTCACCCTTTACAATGTTGTTTGGTATGTGGCTGCAGCAGAAAAACAGATTTCTAAATACAAGGGCATATAGTGACAGGAAGGGATTCTACAGGTACACAGCAAATAAAAAACAGACTAGGGACAACATAGGCCCCCTCTGGAAGCTCTTGGGAGAACTGGCTA